TTTGTTGCCCAGGCTGGAGTGCAGTGGCACAGTCTCCACTCACTGCAACCTCCACCTCTAGGGTTCAAGTGATTCTCCTGCCTCAGCCTCCTGAGTAGCTGGGATTACAGGCAAGCGCCACCATCCCCAGCTGATTTTTGTATTTTTAGTAGAGACGGGGTTTCACCATGTTGTCCAGGCTGGTCTTGAACTCCTGACCTCAGGTGATCAACCTGCCTCAACCTCCCAAAGTGCTGGGATTACAGCTGTGAGCCACCGTGACCAGCTTTTTTTTCTGAGACGGACTTTCGCTCTTATTGCCCAGGCTGGAATGCAATGGCATGGTCTTGGCTCGGCTCACAGCAACCTCCGACTCCCAGGTTCAAGCAATTCTCCTGCCTCAGCCTCCCGAGTAGCTGGGATTACAGGCATGCACCACCATGCCTGGCTAATTCTGTATTTTTAGTAGAGACAGGGTTTCTCCATGTTGGCCAGGCTGGTCTCAAACTCCCAACCTCAGGTGATCCACCCACCTCGGCCTCCCAAAATGCTAGGATTACAGGCATAAGCCACTGCACTGTCGATCTGGAGAAACTTTATCACAAATGCAGGTGTATGAAAATAATATCTCTTCTTTTCTCTTTTTCTTTTTTTTTTTGAGACAGAGTCTCACATTGTCACCCAGGCTAAAGTGCAGTGGTGCCATCTCAGCTCACTGCAGCCTCTGCCTCCTGAGTTTAAGTGATTCTCCTGCCTCAGCCTCCCGAGTAGCTGGGATTACAGGCGCCCGCCACCACACCCAGGTAATTTTTGTATTTTTAGTAGAGATGGGGTTTCACCATGTTGGCCTGGCTGGTCTTGAACTCCTGACCTCAAATGATTCTCCCTCCTACCCCTCCAAAGTGGTAAGATTACAGGTGTGAGCCACAGCACCTGGCCATCTCTTCCTTTACTGAGGAAGTTTCAGTGTTGTCACATACATGCACACTGCTTACGTACACAAAGTCAACATTGTGGCCAGGCTCTATGGCTCACTCCTGTAATCCTAGCACTTTAGGAGGCAAAGGTGGGTAGATAAGGAGGTCAGGAGTTTGAGACAAAACAGTGCTCCAAAGCAATTGTCCAGAAGGGTGTTGTTATCCAAGGAGAGATGCCCATTGGTGATTGGAATGCTGGCCAAGGCCTTGCCAAAGTTTCTAGAAAGGGCTGGAGCAGCCAGGGAGGCCTCACAGAGGGTCCACTAAAAAGCAGTGCTTACACCCTGAGAAGCGGGAGAAAACCAGGGGCCCACTTCAGACACAGCCTGGCTGCCCCCTCTAGGATTGCTGCCCACTTCCAGATTGACAGGTTGGCTGCTGGGGTGGGCCCCCACTCAGAAGCACAGAAGAGTGTCATGTCTCGGGGGCTGCCTGTTTTATGGAGGAGAAGGGCAGCCCAGCCTCTGCCCTCTCGTCCTGGAGCCCCTGGTGGCTTTGGGCCTGCAGGAATGACACTGATCTCCTTCCTCTCTCCCAGGTCACCCATCTCATCAAGCAGCCCCCTTTCTTTCCCTATAGACCTGGAGACTACTTGTATCTGGACATCCCCACCATCGCTCACTATCAGTGGCACCCCTTCACCATCAGCAGTGCTCCTGAGCAGAAAGGTAACAGCCACCTCCTCCAGTCACTGCTCATATTCAGTGAGTTCCCACCATGGGCCTCAAGTACAGGCTGGGAACTCGGAACACAGCACTGAGCATAGCCAAAAACACAAAGTCAGCCTCAAAAAGCTGTCTCTGAAGTGGGAGCAGGCATGCAGACACCGACTGTCATGGCAAGGGCTGTGCCTGCCGCACGGAAGTCTTACAGGGAGGGCCTGGCTTAGCGGGGAGAAGCCTTTACAGACACAGGGGCATTCAACTAGACTTTGAATGATTAGTAGGAGTTTACCAGATAGGGACAGAGATGGGGAGGAGGCAGAAGAAAACGCAGAAGTAAAAACATGAGGACCTGGAAACTGAGAAGAGGCCTGTAGCTAAAGCTACACTGGGGAGCAGGAGGAGTAGCAAGGAAAGAAGGGAGGGACACGCAGAGAGAGAAAGAGACAGAGCATGAAAGACAGATGACGTGGCTGGCAAAGCCAATCAGAGCTAGGATGGGACCAAGGAGGACTTCAGAAGCAAAAAAAAAAAAAAAAGGAAAAGGGCAGAGCTGAAAGCAGGAGATCTCTTGCATCCTCCTCTCTCTCATGTCGTGGATTCTATTTGGTACCACTGAGCAGAAGAGTCATGTCACCTCACACCACATTTCTATCAGCCGTTCATTCAGCAGAGGACCTTAGTAACCACCTGCCACATCCCAGGCATGGGTGCCATGAAAGCAGTTGGTACCACCATGGACTGAGTGCCTACTGTGTGCAGAGCCACTGAATGGTAGGAGGGCCTGTTTTGGTGAGACTTTGGCCTGATGGAGGTGGCAGGGTCCCCACCTTTAGAAAATTCCTGGTGGACTGCCCTGATTCTTTCTTTGGCACACGAGTCTGAACCCTTATTAAGCTCAGGTTGACTTCATCGAGAAAGATCTCAAGGTCTGCACCAGAGAGAACCGCTGCCCTGTGGCTGTGGCTGTTAGTTTGGTTCTGAGGAACGGCATTCAAACCAGGACTTGGGGGCTGAGGCCCAGCACCAATCCCTCCAGTGGGGTGACGCCTGCTCCCTGGTGCCAGGCACTATGGACCCCCTTTCCCCTCCCACCCTTCTCTTGCTCAGACACAATCTGGCTGCACATCCGGTCCCAAGGCCAGCAGACAAACAGGCTGTATGAGTCCCTCAAGGCATCAGACCCACTGAGCTGTGGTTCCAAGAGGCTGTCAAGGAGCGTGATGATGAGAAAAAAGAGATGTAGTAAGTGGAAAAGGCAGGTTACTAAAAAGGATGCTCCATTTATGTAAAAGTGTCGTGTATGTCTGTGTTAGAAAAAAAATCTATAAGGGCACAGGGAAAATGTTGAGGAGTTATGTGCTCTGATGCTTTCCTCACTTGATTGTTTAATAATTTCTATATCTATATTTTTAAAGCTAACATTACGATTTGTGATTTGAATAATAAAGCAATTTCTGTTTTGAAACAAAGTAGAGTGTACAGCCCTGCCCACCCCTCTCTGTATCTCAGCACAGGGAGTTAGGGACGTTACTGGAGCTGAAGGTCCTGCAGGCCCAGGGGAGATCCCTGGCCACGGGACGAAGATCCGGTGTACATGAAGACAAGGGAGGAGACTCAAGCATGGTGGGAAGCCTCTTCTGAAGCCAGTGGCCTAGTGAGGCTGAGGAAGGCGGGACTGGAGGCAGGAGGCTCAGCTGGCTTATCTTCTCAGGAACTGGGGGCCTTGGAGCCTTGCCTTAAGGGCAAGCCATGTTCAGGAAGGACCACACATCACCTGGGTGTCTCTGAGGCCAATCATCTGCCTGAAACCTTCCTGACATTTGCATAATAACTGCAGCAATACTTGCTACTTAGCTTTTCTCTTACATCCCAACATTACTTTAAACTTAATTGTACTTCAAAAGGAATCTTAAGATTATTATCTCTAATGGAAAACAGTATCGTGTGCCATGAGCAGAGGATAGCTTTGAAAGTAAAAACAGTGAGAATCAATGTTATTAAATTCGGCTGGGCACGGTGGCTCACGTCTGTAATCCCAGCACTGTGGGAGGCCGAGGCGGGTGGATCACGAGGTCAAGAGATCGAGACCATCCTGGCCAACATGGTG